TGATGTCATGGGAGATGCAGTAGAAAAAGGGCAAGGCAAAAAAATATCAGTATCAACACAGTTCCTTTGTTGTCAGTCAGGCATTCTAAAAAAATATGTGTCCATAAAAATAATCCAAAAATCAAAAATAGTCGCACTGCAAATGAATGTTCTGCTGGAAAAAAGGAACTGGAGCCACTGGTCCACCACCTAGTCCAAATCCGACTGATCCATGGCTTTACCAATAGTCTAGTTGTAGTGGACCACCTGGTCAAATGAGGGAGGGAGAGGGGTAGTTCCAATTTGGAACAAATGTGTCCCAGGCAGTGTGTGGTAAGTGTAGCTGTAGCAAAGACAATGGACAAAGGATAGATGTACCCAAGTTAATGGGACACAAATGTATATTGGCAATGCAAGGGGATGAACCTTCTCCAGCTCAAAAACCACCCACCCACACTCTAACCAGGCGGGACAAGCGACCAATGATTTAATAGTGGAAGATGGCAGATCAATGTCATGAAGATGGACCTGTTGCCCAATTTGGACTGGCTGCCGGGGCTTTGCTGATATTAAAAGTGGCATGTGGTGGTCAACGGATTGGTGACGGAAGCAGATAGAGAGTGGTGACATCAGGTATGGTGGAGGAGCAAGGAAGACAAGTAGGAGGAGGATGGAGGTGATGAAGAAGTGGACTAGAATAGGGAGCCAGAAACTACTGTCAGGTGAGAATAAAGAGGACAGTAAAGGGCCCATGGTGGGGCTAAGTAAAGGAAAAAGGGTAGGGGGAGACCACAAAAGTGAGGGCGCAATATGTAGTTAGTGGTGACGCAAAAAATTGCCAAAACGCGGAAAGTACTGAATGGAAAGCAAAGGTGAGCACGACTTGATTGCCTAATAGAGGTGGTGCTGATCAGCCACAAGTTCAAAAAAGGCAATATTAATCACTATTCCATGTGGCACTGTGCCTGTGTGGTGCAAAGGCAAGTCTTTTGAATATTTGCTTCATTATTGACACCTGTCCATGCTACCAATTGACACCAGCGGCCAGTCCATCTTCATAATGACAATCTTCTACTTCTACCTATACTATCAAATCATTGGTCGCTCATCTCGCCTGGTTGAAACGTGGGTGGGTAATTTTGAATTGCAAAAGGTTCATCCCCTTGTATTGCCTATGTACATCGCTGTCCCATTCACTTGGGTACATTTATCTTTCGTCCATCGTCTTTACTACAGCTACACCTACCACACGCTACCTAGGACTCACTTGTTCCAAATTGGAACTACTCCTCTCCCTCCCTCGTTTGATCAGGTGGTCCACTACAACCAGACCATTGGTAAAGCCATGGAACTGTCAGATTTGGACTAGGTGGTGGACCAGTGGCTCCAGTTTTTTTGTTTCAGCAGAACATTCATTTGCAGTGCAACTATTTTTGATTTTTGGATTATTTTTATGGACACATATCTTTTAAAATGCCTGACTGACAACAAAGGAACTGTGTTGATACTGATATTATTTTTACCTTGCTTTTTTTACTGCATTTTCCCATGACATCATGGTTTTCTTGCTCTTTCTCTGCTATTGGACTTTATTTTATGGCTGTACAAACCTGTGACATTACCTACACAGCATTTGTTGTTCTATCCCTTTCTTTTCCTTATTTTGACAATCTTATCCTGTACTACCTAGGCAGAATTTGTCCACTACTTACTGCTACTTGTGATTCAGTGTGATCATAACACTTTCCACTGCTACTACTGTTAACTGCTGTCATTGTCACTCACCTCTACAGAAGTCACTGTCATCCTTTTCAGTTGGAGTCCTTCTGAGCATCACAGTCTGTGCGTCAGGAGCCAGCTATCACTGGGAATCTTGTTTTGATGGCCAATTTTATCCTTGATGATACTTCTGTCTTTCTTTAAAAACCCTCATAGCAATGATTGCCCACCTCAGAGCTTCACCCACAAAGTCTGAGGTGAGGATCTTACACCTTCTTTTGTTTTTAGTAATGTATTTACTTTGTACCTAGTATTTTGGTCTACATTAGGTACGCAAATACATCCTTAGAGCTTTGCCCACAAAGTCTGAGTATTTTGGTTTACATTAGATCTCTTTGATATAGTACTTCCAACTCAGGAGGCGCCTGTCATCTCCTATGCCGACAAGATATAGATTGAGCTCAATTCATGTGGCCAAAAAGGGCATTATAGTGATAAAATTATTTGTCTAACAAGGCTAACAGGCTTTAACCTTGACTATTCCAACAGTTGTGATCAAACAATTTTATCTGTTATGGCAGTACTACTCTACTTACCATATATATATCTGCCCATGTCTTTGACATATTGATTAGCTCAATCTATCTGCCTTGAGGGTGATGTGAATCAGCCAATGATCTCAAAGCTTGTGTAGAAGCTTAGGTTAATTTGAAGAAGGCACAAAGAAGTACTGATGGGTTAAGTAAGCAGGAAATGAGGCAAATATTCTTGACATGCCTCAAAAATACCTCAGGGGATTCTCCTGGTATTTTTTCCAGCCCACCTTTGATTCTCCTTGGAACGATCAATTTTTTGCTGCGAAGTAGATGAGGAAGAGGCATCATGTGGTGCCATCGGTAATTGGACTGATGTGCCGGAGCAATTTCTAGTTTCATTTATTGTAAGGCAGACCTGGTACCGTAGGCTACCAGGAACAGCCTATGGTACCAGGAATCGTTCCAAGTAACACGCAGAAAAATATATATGATTTGGCTGTCAGCGTTGTGCGTGATCAACCTACAGTCGAAATGGTACAGTACTGCAAAGCTACAAACCGAATGCTTACAAATAAAGAACGATCTCAATCTTCTTCCGACGAGCTGCTGTCATACAAAACCACATATTCTGCGGGAGTGGCAGACTCCGGAGTAGGCACTTCTACATATAAGGGACTGTCCTGCCATACGCTCAAGTCGCCATGGTCAGATGGTGAATTGCTTATCAACGAGAATGAGGAACCATCGTCAGAAAGGGCTTCGTTTGTGGCTGGTTTTGATGTCGCAAGAGATGCCAATTCAACTGAAAAAGCCTTACGATGAGATAAATGATCAATCACTGCAGATGACGCATATGCAGGCATGATGATAGAAGACGAGGCCAGCGAGTCTTCACTAGCTTCTTCAACGTTGTTGTGTTCGACAACGGTGACGCTTTAAAAATGTGCAATACAGTCAACAGCGAGGTATGGGAAAGACAAAAGTCGACGTACTCAACCCAGATACTACCACCAAAAAGATTGCCTTGACCATCGCTCAGTCGCCAGTAGCTGACATATCTACCTGCGACTTCAGGTGCCTATAATTTGTTTGAAAGTGAGTGTCTATAGGATAAGACCAGGAAATAAAAAAGACCTTCAACTCGCCAGTCCAAACATCAATTTCTTCTCCGGGATCCACCTTCCCAACCTTAGCTAACTGCTCGGAGTCATGCGCAAAAGATTCGCCAGCCAGAAATTGGATTTCAGTCGTCTCAGGCCACGCATTATCACCATTGTTCAGTAACCGCCATGACTTCACGAATTCCGCACCAGGAGGAAAAATTTGCCCATCGGGAACAGTAGTATCGGCAAGAAAAGCTGAATTGAGCCGGGGATATGTTGAAGGAATTTGCGGCGTCATCTTCTGGTTACTTTGAGCTTCTTCTTCGACATTCACTGGGGCCGCATACGTAGAAGCCGCCAGACAGGTTGATATAGAAGGAGAGCGAGGAGCAGACGTAACCACCGATGGGCTCATTTGCACCATTTGCACGTCAGGCTCAAAGAGAGAAGGCGCCACAAGGTCCCCCACAGACCCAGAACCATGAGGACGAGTAAAACCAGTTCCAAGTGACAGCTCGACGAGGCTCTCTTGGGCCTTACTGGACGAAGAGTGCGACCGTGTCAGATGCTTTATTCCTCGGGAAAATCCGGGCCATGACTCGTGAAATGTATCATAACTTGAGTCGGGCAAATGCGCAGGAAGATTACTTTCCTCTGCGGGCGGTGATTGAGAAGGCATTAAAACCGAATGAGCAACCTGGTCTTCGCTAGAATGCGCAGAGCACGACGACGGACGAACAAGTGGGCTTTTGAAGGCAGGATAAGGTGGCTCTTCCTCCTCTTTACCAACAGACATTTCACATCCGTTGCGCGAGATAATTTGAGACGTCAATACAGCCAAGGGTGTGTGAATGCGGGACTCAAATACTTCAACCGGTTTCCCTGTATCCGATACTTGTGCTGTATGTGCATAATGCTGAAGACCATCGGGCCCCGGAGATAATGACGCTACAATATCTCTTGTATCGACCTTCGGAGTACCAAAAGATGCCGAGGAAGAGCGTGAACGATCGCAATGAGAAGAGTTTCGTGTCGGTAAATCTGAAAATGCCATCTCTCCACCATATTGTTCTATGAGACTCTTCTGCCCGAACCTGTACACGGTGGGGATCACAGTATCAACCGTCTTCATCTTCAACAATGGGTGAATCGCGGGGTGAACAGGAATTGGTAATGCTTCGCAGCTCGCGCAAAGGTCAAAGTCTGGGCAATTAGTGTGCATACACTGCAGGGCATCAATCTGTTAGCTTCGTGATACAAAAAGGTATGCTTATTTTACCTTGTATCGAACTCCACAGATGCGCTGTTTACAAGCTACATTTTTTTTTCCATTAGAGGGTTCTGATATTCAGAAACACACAACTTACCGTTACAAGTTGCATAATGCTTGGTTGAACTAACAGACAATGCGTTGCGCATCTGTATGAACCATGTTCACTTTCTAGGGATTAAAGAACGTAAAAATGAGATTAGATACCATTAGATTTTCCGGTTTTTCGACTTTGACGAAGCCATGATTTGGATGTTGCTCATGTGTTATTCTTCGTAAAACTGTTTTAAGCCAGGTCGATTCATTATAATACTCGAAAGCTAAATAATCCCTAATTGTAACAAGTGTCGAAATCTGTAAAGAAAAGATATTAGTAACTGCAACAATATTGACATCCGCCTGTCATAAAATTTTACCAGGGCAATTAAGACATTTCTGGAGGCAGCAGTTAAGAATAATAGTGTATGATGCTCGTTACTGATGACTTACGTAGCGATCACCTTCAATGGGTGAATCGCATAAATTGCACGTTGCATTATGTAGTATATGCCCAGCACCAATATCTCGCTCATTTTCTCTGCGCAAAGATGAATGTGGTTCCGCGTTATTAACACTTCCGTCATTCGGAGGACCCCTAAAACCCGGTAAGTAGTTGTTTCTTGAATATGCTATTGACTGTACCGGTTGAAAACAGTATGCACAAAGACCCGACCTGGCGTCGCTATGTCGAAAAACTCGTGGAATGGATTGTGTCGCCCAGCAGTTCCTGATCCCATACAAACGCCACAAAGGTCATAATCTGCAAGAAATATAGATGATGATTAGAAAACAATTAACAAGAACAGGATGAGCGTACCTTCGCAATCCAAGCATTTATGTCTGATTCCTACAATGATCTCGTTACAGTTATCACACATTACACCTCTATGAATAGAAGGCGGGACATCTGTAACTCTAGAATCGCCTCCTGCATTCACGTCAGAAGGAATATTGGGAGGGGCATTAGGTAAAGTTGCACGAGATGAGGCATGCCGCTCTACAACATGACTTGGACCGAAACTAGATGTATGCGTCGGTCCAGATTTATCAATACAGGTTACACACTGTAACGTTATAGCATGAGTACAAGCAATGCAAAACGAGGATGAGTGCTGACCACAGAATGCCAAGGACACTTTATGCACCCGTACCACGGCCCATTGAACTGTGCTCTGCACACGAAACACCATTTAGGTGGTTCAGGCGAAGCAGGACCCTGTTCCTCATGCACAGGGGAAGCCATCGACCTGTCCTCATTCTCCGATAAATTGGATTCCACTTTAGTCTCAATCTCCCCGCCTTTATTGATGTGCTCCGAGCCGGCGTCATGTGCAGAGCCAAATAAATTAGATAATAATTGATCCAAATCTTCCTTGAATGATGATAAGAGGGCCTGGATTTCAGCTTTGCCTTGCGATGCGGAACAATCATGGGAAGCTGGAGACTGCATCTTGGTATTGCAGTAAATTGACCCATTTTGTTGAGACGAGGCATGTGAACTTATGGTGACGGATTTATCAACAAATGGGAGAGGTGGAGAGGGAAATTGAATGCTTTGACGAGGGGAAGGAAATATAATGGGAGGCGGAGGTACATGGGAAGGAGATAAGGCAGACGAAATGTAATGATACGGGCCATTCGGACTAGGGGTCTTGTTGGAGACGGCAGTGGCTGGAGTACCAGAAAAGTAAAATTCAGAGACTGGCTTAACGCTGTGTTCCACCGGACCGGATGTAACGCTTGAGGCCTTATCAGGAGTCTCGGCATAAACGGTGAAGCGCAGCAAAGCGTTGGACCAGGAGAGATGCAGCATAGGGGCAACACAAGTATTATATTCATCAGCCGAGTGAACCTCCCTTCCAATCAAGAGGCGAGAGGGCTGGGAAGCGTCAGGGGAAAATATAAGCTTTGAAAAGTAATAAGGATGGTGGATGGGAAAGACTCTACAGAGCTAATGACGAACATGAGTTGCGGGGTGATAAGAAATAGGGTGGCAATACACACCTGCTGGTGGAGGTCGTCATAGGAAGGAAAGCGAGTGCTGGCTGAATAAGAGAACTTGCGGGTTTCGTTTCGGTAGGTGGCCTTGACGGTAAACATGGTTGAAGGCAGAATGTGGGAGCGCAGCACCGTTCACCTACCCAAGGACGTTGACGCTTACGTAAGAACATCAAGGGTGGAAACCGGGCCTTACTATCACCGAGCCAGTGCCAACTGTTTAAATATCTGACATCCTTGCTGTTTTGTTGGAGTAATATATACCAAAAACATGTCGAGAGAACCAAAACATAACTAGCAAAGATTCAGTGCGGCAATTCGGACGTCAGGAGGATTGTATAGAATTAAAGCACAAATTTTCGCCACCTCTATATGACCCAGGCTGAGCGATAGAAGCGCAAAGTACTCACTGAGCACGAAGAAAACTAAGTTATTCGAAGGTGGGATATACATATATAATACAAGTGATGAAACGACGAAGATACTGCTGTTGCGAGCTGGCTGAAATCGTAGGTCACCAAAAACCAGGGGGGGAGGTTACAGACTGTCATCTCACCACCGGATTACTCGTCCGCTTGCCTGCCACGGTTCTCGAGTTGCGTAGCATATTTCTCCAAACCTTTCTTGAGAGGCTCGCATACTTCTTTGGCCAGTCGAATTTCCAATTTGAACCTCTGCAAAATTATCAATTGACCAATCCATGATTGCATAGGAGAAACGAATATTCACAAGGTTCCCAAGGGCATTCATTCCACCCTGGAGATGTTTTTGGAACTGTACAGCTTGGCTACGAACCTATATTACTCATCTTAGCTGACGATGGTTAGCGTTAAACAGGTGGACACACCGAAGACCAAATTTCGGCGAACAAAATCAGCTTGTCACAAATTAATGCGATGTCTGGCTTCAAGCCATCGAAATCGGTCTTGAGATGAGCTAGTGCTGCCTGTTTTCGATTGACGTCGATGAGTTCATTCTGTTTACGTTGAAGTATTGACGCCTTCTCTAATGCGGCAAAAGCATGGTTACAAGGCGATGGTAAATACTTATAAGCGCACTTACCATCACGCTCTGATTGGAAGGCAGCAAGGGCGGAGCCGGCAACAACCATTCCAATAACCTAAAGAATCGCGAAAAAGAACTTTCAATAACAGAATCAGATCTGAAACATGCACGTACATTAAGCAGCCGAGCGCAAATTGCGTGTGCTATACTGGCAGCCTCTACCTATAAGAAAAATATCAGTCAACAGTTCGCGAAAGAGAAAATCGGATGAGATTTGACCTTGCCGTCCAAACTATACATGTTCACAATTAGCGCCAACAACGATGAAGCAGAAGTAGACATACGCTTCAATTTCTCCCTGGAGTTTTGAAATTTCGTCTTTCAATTTCTTTGCCTGAACTGCCAGCTCTACCCCCTTGTCTTTGATCCATTGGTCAAGTCTACTGGCAAAGGCCTGAACATCACGTTTGAGGTCGAGGAAATTTTGCGCCATTTGAGAGGAACCATTATCTTTTTCGTCCTGTCGTGGAAATCTTAAGGAAGCCATCGAAGGGCTTCAGCACTTCATTGTTTTCCTCCCTTACTGTGAATCGAAACCGTTGCTAATATCCTGTTCCGTTTTGATTTCTTTCAAAATACCAAGAAATTCGCCAAAGCCTGTGCGAAACGATAAGTGGCAACCTCAGCAACTTTTGAACAATGGAAAACGCACTTCTGAGTAGCGCGATGTGTTTGGACGCCACGTCGCGCGATTCCGACAGATACTTCACCCATTTCTGGTCATTGACTATGTCAGAATGTACATAATACCAGACAAAGACTGGATCTCACCGCCTTATAATCTTTCCATTCATTAAGATAGGTAGAAAGATCGTGGAAGTTGTTGCCATATTTCTTAACCATGTCTTGGAAGCCCCGAGTGATATTGTCAAAGGCCGCGTCGACTTGGTTGGCTCAGATACCGACTTTTTCGACATTGTCTGCGTACTTGTTACCATCTTTCAGGTTGTTGAGAGCAGCGTTTGCATATCGGATTCTTTCATCGTCGCTGGGTCCACCCGCTGCTTTCCAACTGTCAAGGATCTTCTGGGAGTCTACAAGGCTGAGGGTTGCGACTGCGGCCATGCCGAATAGAAGTGATTATTGCAAGTGAGAACACTGCAGAAAACAAATGCCAAGGCACGGCTTTTATACAGAGAGGACTCTTTGATCCAACTATTGATGACGATCGTCTATGGGTAATCGCGAGAATCCGCCCGGTTAATTTTGGTATAAGATCCATGCTACTCTGATACCTAGCGGGTAGATTGGAATCATTACGGCATAGCTTAAAGGCGTGTGGAATGGAACTCGTCCAAATTGGACGAGATCTGGGGTATACCGGTTAGCAAAAAGGTACAAGAACAACTAAATATACGCGAAGACGTACTTGTTGGAGAAAATTGACAAGTTGCTTGACATCGGACAGACAAACTGAGTGACACTTTCTCTTTCCAGAAGAGTTCGCACGCGCAATCTGATATGTCCATCTAACTTGAGGTACTTTGGAGCAGACCTTATATATTGATGTCGACTGTCATATCAATAATTTGGTTGGCCAAAAAGGACACTACGTTGAAATTACGACATTTCATGGAACATCATTAGCCCGCCTACTTGAAAATCCAGCCCTCCAGTCTGGCCTTAAACTCTGCCAGACCCTCCATTAGAGGTTTACATACAGCCCTCGCAACCTTAACTTCGTTTTTGAACCTCTGTAACACATTAGTATCGGACCATCCCTTCAAAGCAGCACAACCCACCATATTTGTGCTTGCTTTCATCCCACCTTTGAGATGTTCACGGAACTGGACAGCCTGGCTTCGAACCTTTGAAACAAGTGGTTTTACCAACTCACGATCGTTGACTTCAGGTATTAGACTCACGGAAGACCATATTTCGGCGAATACAACCAGCCTTTCGAGCATCAGACTGATGTTTGGTTCCTCATGCTGATGACCCCTGAGCTGAGATTGAAGATGGGGCGCTTCCAGCGTATTCAGGGTTGCGAGCATGAGCTGCACATCTCTGAAGCTTTCTGCTTCCTCTGGTGTATATCACGTAACCTGAGCACAGGTGCATTTTGAAGAACGACGGATATTTTACTCACTATCACGTTGTGTGTTGAGCGAGGCAGCGACTCTAGAAGCTCTAGTACCCGATCCAAGGCCCTACAAATAGAAAGGAATGCGTTGAATGCCATCGACATTGAGAGATGCGTGCTCACTTCCAGGAGGCCCCCACCGATGATTGCAATTGTTCTTAGCGCGGATTTAATCTGTTATATCAAGTGGTCGGCTAAAACTTTCAGCATTAGAAATCGAGCAACAATGAACCTGGTCTTCCAGGCTATCAAAACTTCAGTGAACGCTAGACATCACAAAGCGGGTTAGGACGCACAGCGCAATTGATTTAAGCAACTGGGTCGCCAAGTCTGACGCCTGGTGAGTAAATTTGCCTATGAAGTCCGCAATATCACGTTTAAGTGTCAGAAATTCTTGGGACATTTGAACAGAGTTATCATTCTTTTCAAGTTCGTCCTATCAAGAGAATGTAAATGCCATTGGGAAACATGAAGACGGCCCACGAACAATGAATGACTCTAATGCTTGGATAGCCGCAATACGATCTTGCTCGGTCCGAATATTTTCCACCCTCGCAAGGTAAACCGTATCAAAGCCTAAGCAAGGCAATTGTCAGAGTACCGATTTTTAGGAGCCATGAATGAACTAAATACGTCTAAGAATATGGACATTTTCAGCTGCCACTTTGCACGAGTGACGCAGACACATCCTCCAACGCTTCATAAACGCTGTCAGGCCTATACGTACAATAAAGCAGGGATAGATTCACCTGCTGGAAATCTACCCATTGTTGATAGGAAACAGAAGCTGAGGGGAACAAAGAGGTCATAATCATGATCCTTGGTTGCAGCTCCCTAAGAGTCTTGTCGATGCTCATGGCCGAGTTAGCTATTTGGCTGATATTTTTTTGAAATTTATTGGTTTGGTCGGACTTGCTCAGCTGAGCGAGAACTGTAATTGCGAATTCGTTTTTTTCTTCTTCAGTGGGGCCATCCTTTTCCCAACGTCCAAGGACCTTCAAACATTGCTCGGGGCTTAAGACTGCCACTCCTGCCATGTTAAATAGAAGCGAGCAAGGGAAGCTAGAGACTTTCTACCAAAGCCAAGTACCATATCGCGCCTTATATATATGCATACTCAGGAGTACTCACGACGGGGTCTCGCCTATGACCGATTATCCCTGGCCAGGTAAGAACATCCGAAGTCCTGCTCTCGTCACCCTATTATAGCGACGTCGCCTGACTTGAACAATGAATCGATGAAGAACGATGAAGAACGTATGAAGTGGGAGATGCCGAGTTTGATTCTGAATAAAGAACCGAATTAGAGATCTGAATATGAATACCTTGTGGATTCTCGAGCCCTGAAGGAAGGATTCGGCTTTCCGCTTGTTCATACGACGAACCGCATCCAATATCTCCTTGTCCGGAAGAAAGTACTCGTTCTGGTTTGAGGTTCCATGATGAAGAACCTCGTGATAGGCTAGCAGCACCACCAATGACCTGCCGCCGTGGACAGCGGAAGATATTTGTCGCGTCACGTTCATTACACTCCGGTCACATGTCACATCCACTTTACGCGGCCACCTCATCATTGATCATGATCTTGTTGTAGCAATACCATAGTTGTCCGTATCCTACACGGCACCGTCCTATCAGGTATAATCTGGAAACTCATCAAAGACTCGGTCAGTGATGTACAATATAACCGGATCTAACTTGAACCAGAGCCTGTTCCACCGTACTACTGTTTCCAGCATATTATTTTCAGCAGATGCCAACAACATGGACGGCAACCACCTGCCTTTCGTTCTCGTCGTCGTTCTCGTATTTATGGATTTATATTTATATGCTGCGCTAACAATTCTCATCACGAAATTCATCTGGAAGTATGTGAAACATGTGAACGAGGTACATTATTGATACATGGCTCCAAATCCTTCTGTTCATTTATAGACAACGAGATCAAACTACTCGAGCCTCGTTGCGTAATTATTCAAGGCCTGTCGGATGTGCGCAGCCCCAAGCTTCACCGGAGCGATCTCTTTCTTGAGGCCCTGAAACATTTCAATCAGTTAACTTGTCATGAAACTGAAGATAACGTATGTATTTCACCTCAACGGTCTTACTAAAGTTACTAGCCTTGGCACTTTGGAGAACGTCGATGATATGTTTGCTTTCTACACACACCTAGAGAGGCTGCTTCAATGCCGGCAAGAGGAAGAGAACGAAGCCACCTACGAGCGCCTCGATTTCGTTAAAGGCGTTCTTCACACCCGGAGTGGTATCTAGCTGGTATTTCGTTGAGGGATGCGTTTCCTGGAACGAAGAATTTTTTCAGGAATCGCAAAGAAAAAGCTAGGAAAATACGAACACCCAACAAGTTGTTGAACTCTGCGATAACTTCCTTTACATCACCCTCACTCCCGATCATGTCTATCAATGAGAGGAAGACTTCGATAAATCCTGCAGGAAAAACGTGTCAAATTGGAAGCTCGAACATTAGCAAAGTATCTATCTCACGTTGGTACCAAGCTGAAATAGAAGAAGCGGCATCGCGGGTTTGCTGCAAAGTACTGACCCAGCGCTTGGTTTCATTGTTTAGGACTCGCCAAGTTATTAGATGTAAAGAAACATACAGTGATAAAGTGCTCTGTGCTGGCTTGAAGCTCGGAAACAATTTGGAAATCGGCGCTATATTTGCTGACGAATTCTGCAGCATCCCGTTTGGCACGACCGACACCACTGTCAATGGTGTTCGCTTCGTCAGAAAGGCCCCTGATCTTGGTGACGAACGGCTGTGGATTTGCTATCGGAGAGATGTAAGACATTTTTGCTTTCGATAAGAGACGAGTAAGAGCGGGAGCAAGAGATACTGAGAATATTCCACCGATTCTAATTTTTATAGTGCATCGTGGCTGAACCTAAGCTTCTACTAATCCGAATTTTGCACAGACTGGCTCGAGTTTCAACTCACAGATCTATCCTGCACGTGGACCCCAAAACCGCACTCATTACACGACTTGTAAGTTAAATGTCGGATACTATCATATTACGCGTGCGAACTCTTCTGGAAAAAGAAAGTGCCACTCAGTGCGTCTGCCCGATGTCATGCAACTTGTCAACGTTTGAACCACAAGTACGTCTTCGCATTTTTATAGTCATAATATCATCTTTCTGACGTGTCTGCTCCAGACATGGTCCAAATTTGGGCAAATTCCATTCTACACTTCTTTTAGGCTAGGTCGTGATGATTCTATGCCGAACTTGCACACCAGGTCATGAGAGCAGATCTTGTACCACAACTTAGGTTTTTACGTTCGGCGGATTTTCTGCGATTATCCATGGATTATCGCCATCTTTCATTGGACTAAGAGTCCCATATATAACAGCCGTGCTTTGGCGTCTGGTTTTTGCAGTGTTCTCACTTGTATTATCACTTGTATTTGACATGGCCGCAGTTGCAACCCCCAGCCTTGTAGACTCCCAGAAGGTTCTTGACAGCTGGAAAGCGGCGGATGGACCCACCGAAGGAGAAAAAATTGGCTATTTAAACAAGGCCCTCAACAACCTGGATGACGCTAACAAATATGCAGACAATGTCAAAGAGGTCGGTGTTTGGGCCAATCAAATCGACGCGGCCTTTGACAATGTCACTCGGGGCTTCGAAGGCATGGTTACGAAATATGGCAAGGACTTCCCCGATCTTTCTACCTATCTCGATGAATGGAAAGGTTACAAGGCTGTGAGATCCAGTTTTTGTGCGGAATGCACGTTCTGACATAGTCAACGATCAGGATTGGGTGAAACATTTGTCGACCTCGCGCGACGTGGCGTCCAAACACGTCGCGCTCCTCAAACGTGCGTTTTCCATGGTCTTACGGAGTACGTCACTAATCGTTTCGTACAGGCTTTGACGAGGTTTTCCTTAACATGGTGGAAAGTATTGCGACGGTGCAGGATCGTAAGGACGTCATCGCAGAGCTCCAGGAATTCATTGTTTGTTTTCCTCTCTCACTGACTCGACATCGTTGCTGATGTTTCCCAATAGGACGAAAAACATGACGATTCCCTTGAGATGTCGCAAAATTTCCTCAACCTCAAACGTGATATCCAGGCCTTTGTCAGTAGATTTGAAGAATGGATCAAAGACAAGGAGATAGAGTTGGCAGCTCAGGCAAAGAAATTGAAAGACGAAATTACAACTCTCCAGGGAGAAATTGAAGTGTATGTCTACTTCTGCTTCATCGCTGTTCGTGCTAATCGTGAACATGTGTAGTTTGGACAAAAAGGTTAAATTTCATACGATTTCTACTTTTGCGAACTGTTGGCTGATCTTATTCATATAGATCAAAGATGCCACTACGGCGCTTGCAGCCTGCGCTGGGCTGCTTAATGTGCGTACATGCGTCTAATCTGACCCTGTTCATGGAATTTATCTTTCGTGATTCTTTAGGTCGTTGGGATGATTGTTGCTGGCTCAGTCCTTGCTGCCTTTCAAGCAGAGCGCCAGGGTGAGTGGGCTTATAAATATTTGCCGTCACCTTATAACCATACTTTTGCCGCGTTAGGGAAGGTGACGAAACTTATAGGTAAACAGAATGATCTCATCGACGTCAATCGAAAACAGGCGGCGCTAGCTCATCTCAAGACCGATTTCGATGGCTTGAAGCCAGACATCGCATTAATTTGTGACAAGCTGGTCTTGTTCGCCGAAATTTGGTCTTCAGTGGGTCCACTAAACACTAGTACTGATCACTGTCGGCTAACATGTATAATGTAGGTTCGTAGTCAAGCTGTACAGTTCCAAGAGCATCTCAAAGGTGGATCAAGTGCAGGTTCGAACATGGTAAGTTTTCGCTTCTCTCATGCAATCATCGATCGATCGATTGATATCTTTCCAGAGGTTCAAGTTGGAAGTTCGACTTGCGAGAAAAGTATGCCAGCCTCTCATGGCGGGTCTGGAGAGATATGCAACGGAACTCGAGAACCGTGAAAAAGCAAAGGAGTAATTCATCGGATAAATGGCAGGCTCTAGCCTCTCCTGGATTTTGGTGATGTATGTTTCAGCTCGCGATAGAAACATGTCTCCTATTTCAACATTTCAACGCTTGTATTATATGTGATTATCTGAACAACGAAATTTTCCTCATGCCTAATGCAAAATATGCTCTGTACTATCACTCAAGGTTGTGCCTTGATTCTTTACAATCCCTAACTGTAGCATTACATAATATTTGCCAGTTCTACTTAAATTTTGTAGGTCTCGACACGCTCGGCTGGTTGTATCATACTGTCCACATTTCTAGTACAGTACTAGTAGCCTGTGTAGTAATTTTTGGACGTGCCGCATCGCAATTTGGCAGAGCCAACGCAGAGTCTCAGATCTCAACCTTTTTTTTTTCAACCACCACTCGGACTGTGAGTGTCCTGGACACTCATATTCAATGCACCTTCTGGCGTTGCGTGTGAAATATTGGCAAGCGATCTCTCAAGTGTTCATCGTACGGGAGCAAACGAAGAATGATGCACCGAAGATCTGTCACTGCAACCTGAATTGGACATCACGATGCTGCACATATCACTAGCATGAGTAAGGTCTCCAAACGGACACTCTAAAGCCAGGAGAGGTGAGTAATATCATCATCTTATTTTACAGTCTTCTAACGAACTCCCCTTTTTATGTAGCTTCCATCATAGATGGTGGACAAATGGTGGCCCTATTCAATGTCCTGAATTCGTTCTCTGAGAGTTACATGTATGTGGAGTCACATCACGAAAAAGGAAAACCACTCAGTACTCAGGGCCCGTGACACCGGTGATTTAATGATATCTACGCCTACTTAATTATACGTTTCTCATTGTCTCTCAATCAAGGGATCACTGACTCCCTACCTTTTCTGGGCTGCCCCAGAATAATATCTACGTCATCGGCGCCCCAGGGACGTATGTTCTCAACTTCTATTTGGAAGTTCTGACCGTGATACGTTGGTGCGCACCTAGATATTGAAGTTCAAGCCGCTCAAGATAGAGCGAAGGTTTAAATTCTGTCTGATAACCTCCATCATCGACACTAGAAGTTCTATCGAAATACTACACGACTGACAATTCGATTATGGTGGTTCGAAATCTCCACATTGTGCATGTCAAAACTGTCAAGGCGGTGATCCAGCATTCCACGCCCCAATCCTGTGACATGTTTTCATTCGGCGTTGGCCTCCACAACGATCTTTCTGTCAGTTGACACGGTTTTCTTGTTACAGAACCTTGTTGGGCGAGGTGATGTCCCGTATCAGGCGTGATTGGCTCAGGCACGATAGTCTGTGGAAAAGTGGGAAGTAAGTTCAACAAGCAGCACTGGCAACTTCCAAAATTCATCGCGAAATTCAGAATATTATCAACTGGTCATAGGATAGACCGATTTCCAAGCCGCCAGCTCGTGGCAGGTCACAAGTCTAAAGCTTGGAGTTGCTTTCAACTGCGTATCCTCACTGTGTCATGTGTAAAGTTCTGTGTCTATTCTGACAGTCTAAGTTCAACAGTGAGTGGAAACATTTCGCTTGTGCGCCTTCTTTTGCTGTCCACTGGCACCACAAATAAACCTTGAGCCTCGATGGAGCGCACGCTGCACTTTCACAGATCAAATCTCCCACTCAGACCATTGCCGACCCACGAGCTGGCTCGATGATCTACCTCCTTGCGCAACAATACAAGGTCGGCGATATCACAAAAGCCTTGACTTTCGGAGAGGGCACAAAAATAAAACAATTCGCTTCGGTGTCTGTCTTGGGAGCCGAATATCTCAAGAAGGTTTCAGGGAAGAATGAGGAACCCATGTTCTTATTCCTTAAATCATGAATATGCACGTCATAGGGGTCATTGACATACTTCCATGTCGGCTATTCAGAAGATGAACTTCTATCGATAACGCATGATCGATGGTATCACGTACTCACTCATGCACTCCACCTGCCCCTTGATCCTTTCTGTTTTAGACCTTGTGCTCGTAGACGTTCTATTCAATTAAATCGGCTGCTACTGGGAACATGGAGAGCGAAGTTGGCAAATGCCTAATGAATCCGAGCCATTGTCGAGATTGGAAGGACTTCAAGGCGCAATACGGTCGATTGACATGGACTCTTTAAACTGTCGACCTGGTTCACTTGGAAATCCGATTTGATACACTGAAAGTGCCAGGGGGCCTGAAATTCATCCGTTTTTATCCTGTGGTACACCAGCACTGGTTTGTTTTCTAGCACATAAAGAGGCTCAGAAAACTCAGCATGTCCGTCATACAGTTTTATCTCCCTTTTCCCCTCAAGACCTTTTTTTGCATTCAATATGACCACCAACCCTCCGCCGTCATACGAGGTCGCTGTCGCAGAGGCCAAGCGCATGCTGGCTAAACCTCTTACATCGGATGAAAAGGTTGAATTTGCCAAGGAAGCCATCAAGGTATTGGAGGACGACAATAATGTCAAGCAGTTCGAAGCGGACATTGAGAATATCGGTACTTCAGCTATTCAGACGGATCAAGCTTTCGACCGTGTGAGTCGTGGCTTCAAAGACATGGTCGACAAGCACGGAAAGGATTTCCCAGAGGTCGCCGGCTACAAAGCTGAGTGGGACAGCTATAACAAGGTAAACTCGGCCAACTATTTATCCGTTCACTGGTTAATTTGGCATGCATGTTCATGGTCGTTATCTAGCGCTGGGTTAAGTACCTCTGGGACTCGCGCGATGTGGCTTCCGAGATGAGTGCAACCCTTTCACGTATGGCCTATTGTATCCGCCAGTCCTGTCTGTTGACAACCATGGCTTGTAGGATATGATGAGGTGTTTCTTCAGTTAATCAGTGAAATCAAGACCGATGAAGACCGTAAAGAGTGCATCAAGGAGCTTGCTAGCTTTGGTGTATGTTTACGACAATGGTTGCTTGATACGCTTCATTTACTGTTCTCCATATAGTCAGAAAAACATCAGACCTCGGCACAGATGGCAGGCAACTTTAGGAATCTTGAAGCGGACGTCAGGGGCTTTGGCGAGAGGTTTGCAACGTATCTGGAACAGAAGAAGGTGGAATTAGAGCAACTAGCAACAACGCTAAAGACGGATATCGACGCACTCCAAGAACAGATTAAAAAGTGCGTCTCCTTGCCTCATTCGACGCTATCCGTGTCATCAACTAACGCACTATGGTAGCTGGAATGAAAAGGCATTTTTTCCGCTTTTATCAAAGATTTATTGTCGCCTTACAGAATTATTTTCCGCTCATCTAGATTGCTGCTGGTCTTATGGCTATGGGTGCCGGCTTGGCTCTTTCGGTATGGGTTGCAGTTTTTGATATCGTTTGTGATGGATTAACCGATTTTTTTTTTGACTTCATAGTTCTGGACATTGATTATCACTGGTTCAGCTATTGCTTACTTCATTGCTCAACGCATCAGTGAGTGCTACAGTCACGCTGATGATGTCAATGGATGTCTGAAGGGCTTCGTTCGTACTATTTAGAAGCCGAAAAGGCACTTAATGCCAAGAAGACTGAGCTGGCAGAAGTGAACCGCAAGCAGAGAGCCCTGGCAGAACTCAAGACCAGATTTGACGGTCTAAAGCCAGATATCGCCCTTATCTGCGAAAAGCTCATTATATTCGGTAACATTTGGCAATCCGTAAGTCACATTTCATTTGTTGACTTGAAAGCCATTCTTTGCTGATCTGATGATTGTCAAATTTTAGGTAAGCACTCAATGTGCAGAGTTCGGCAGTCATCTCGAGAAAGGCATGGACGCCCTTAATGACGAGGTAAGAATCGACATGAAGCCAAACTTTGATCGAATGAATGAGTTAATGGCGTCGAATTAGGAATTCCGGTTGCAAGTCACACTCGCGAGGAAGACGTGCACTCCTCTTCGGAATGGCCTTAGGAAGTACGCGACGACTCTTGAACATTCTCCTCTTCCCAAGTCCTAAGCAAACCACTCGTCATTGCAAAGGGAATGAGACAAGAAATCTGTTTTTTTTTGCTTTCTTTCAAAAATATATTTCAACTTGTACTACTACGTCGATTAACGGACACTGAATAATTATGAATGTTATGATTGTTCCAAGTTAGCTCTGTGGGTCAGACGATTCCCAAGGTTTGAAAGTTATTTGCCTCTGCCATAGCAATCTTTTTTCTCGTCGATTAAGCAAGCTCGGGTTAAAAGTTTCAATATGGTTCACAGGACGTTTCCTTAGAAGGTTATCAGGAATGATGGTTTGAAGCGAAGTGCGATTGGTAATCAGTAGTCTTGTTTTTAGGGCGTGATCGACTTGGACGATTTCATAGACTGCTGCTACGTAAATACTACTAGAGCGATGATGGAGGCGTATGTGGATGTCTCGCATATGGATGATGTTAGCAATGTAGGGGGGATGTGGAAAGAATAACAGATGTCAGATACTGGTACGGATATGACGCTCCGTTTGCACTTTTATTCAAAGTGCGACAGCGAGAAATTTTCGGTGCGAAATATGGTGGACTGCGCGAAAAACAGATGAAAATTCGCGCGAGATGGGGAGCTGCGCGAACAAGAGATGAAGACCCACGTGAAATGACGCCCATAATAAAACTAAGTGAAACTCAGCCGCTGCCCAAGAGGCTATAGAAATGACTTTATTATTTACCTAAGTGAAACTACAATAGATGTTAGTTTAAGGTGATCTCTAATAAATGTAATGTAACATACCTCAGCTGACAAAACCGGATAAACCCGGTCTCTGCCAAAGCAGCCATTTGTAACGAGGCTGAACTCCACTCCGAATCGATCCGACTCACCTGGCGCTAGGCATCAGACCACGCTCTTTTGAACATGCGGACACTTCCTTTCACTCTTTCTGCCGACGTTCCTTATGGACTACTGCTCCTCCTGTGTTTGCACTTATTAGCTTGCTGATCCCTGTCGTTACCGTAGACGTATAAATACCAGATGTAATCGATATGGAGGAGCAGCTTAAATCAACTAGACTTACACCAGTTATAGGACAAAAGCTCGACGTGGGATGTTAGCGTCACGCGAACGTCACATATTTTTAACTCTCAACAGTCTAAACTACCAACAAGAAAAACCACCTTATTCCGACAGGAATACCGCCTCTCCTCGAATCCGGACTTGATCAACCTGTGATGACTGGACCGGCACCCATGACTGCTCCCATAACCTCCTCTCCTACTCCTCACTATAACCTTCGCACTAGGAGCAAGGCTTCAGGACAACTGAGACGCGCCAGCAGTGAGTCGTCACTTTCCAACTTACCTGATAGTCCCCCAGGCCTGTCCCCTCGCCTGAGCCCTGGTGGCCAGGCTGGCTCTGCTCCTCGACGACCTTCCCGTTCCTATAGCGATGTGGTAAGGACAGGAGATCCTTTGCCCGACCTAAAAACTCGGCGCAGAGAGGCTGAAGTAAATAGCTTAAAATTACGCACCGGAACGAGAACTGGGGCTCCCAGGACTCAGACCGAGGTTCCGCCTGTAGCGCGACCCAGTGGGGTTACTACACTAGATACCCAACAAGATACACTGGTTCAGCAAGCTGAGAAGCTTCTGAGTGATGACCAGTTGAAAACAATCCTGAAAAGACGTGAGATTGAGCGAGCTGCGAGACAAAGCGAAACCGCTACTAACCTCGAGTCCCAAGAAGGGACCAAGGGAAAGGGCACCGACCCCGCAAACTGGGGAGGCCTTGATATTGAGGAAACCGAGCTTGAGCCTGAAGCTCAAAGGGAGGCCCTGCGCGCCTGGAACAAAGCCCATGAATGGGCCAGTCTGAGTCACCAGGAAGTACCTGGTCCGTCTGGAACGAAGAGAAATCAGGTGCAGGAAACCAGTGACCAAGAGGACACTCATCAAGAAGAAGAGTCTCGGACTCGAACCTCTCGTCGACGATCAAAGATCCGTTACCGAAAGGAACGCCAAAAACAGAGGCGGCACGATAAACGGGAGATATACCCCAGTAGTGGAGGGGACCCCCGAGTAATGGGATATCGAGACCCGATAGTGGGGCTCATGGAAAGGGCCTTGAAGCCAATGGAGGACCCTCGACGACCTGGGAGTATTTACCACACCTTCGCTCCCGCCAACCAGGTGGGATCGACAAGCTACATTGGGCGCGCCCTTGGCCAGATGACCAGTCAACGTCAGCCCGACCCTCCCTCAGACTCGAGCGACAGCTCGTCGAGTGACTCAGATAGTGACCAGAGCAGCCTCTCGAGTGAAACCAGCTCAGTGTCATCCTTGGGACAGAGTCGCGGACGAGGCCATCGTGGCCGAAAGCGAAAAAACTGTAAGAGTAAAAGGAAACGTAGCCCTCGGAGGCCGATTCTCAAACCCACTGAGCCACAAGTCTATGACGGCCGGCCTGACTCTCAGGAGTTCCATCAGTTCATGGTTGCATCTTCAACTTACCTGAAGGAGGGACGAGTCCCACGGAAAGGGCGAGTTTATCGACTGTCGTCATTTCTAAGGGGAACTGCGTATGACTTCTTCCTCTATAAAGTATCGCCTGATCCTTCCAGTTGGGACCTGAAGGATTTCTTCATCGGGTTGTTCAATCATTGTTTCCCTGTAGATTACAGAATGAAGCAACGTGATAAACTAAAACGATGCTTTCAGGACCATAAATCTGTACGAGAATATTTATATGAGCTTACTGAACTTTGGAACATTATCGGCGATGTTGACGAGAGACAGAGAGTGATTCGGTTCTGGACTGGACTGAACACAGAGCTGCAACAAGGACTATGGCTTAAGGAGCTTAACCCCGAGATTTCGCGGTTCGAGGAAGTGCAATCCGCCGCTGAAGTGCTAGAACTCGCACGATCCGCTGGGCTGAGAGGCCGATCCTCTCAGATGAAAGTGCAGTCGTCTCATGATAACAGGAACCCTACGGCCTACTCCAAGCATGAAGTTAGTAATAAACGAGCTAATCAAGGAGACACCAGACGACCTCCCTTAGACAAAGCCAGGGGGCCGGCCTTTGGAGGAAACAGGACACACCCGCAGACCAAGAGTCGTCCTCTGGAAGCGAGGAGGGAGGCCCGAGAGAAGAAGGCGCCTGTCTTGAGTACTGAGGAACGAGAAAAACACGTGGCCGAAGGACGGTGTTTTATCTGTCATGAGCTAGGACATTTTAGTAGAAACTGTCCTCATCGTAATGCTGTCTCGTCCCAGAGGAAAGACAGACCTCCCGGCATCCCCAACTTTGCTATGGGAATAGACTGAGTGGAGGTAGTTGACATTGAACAACTACAGGCACTAGCGTCAGCTACAGAAACAACTCATGATGTGACCTTACATTCGATGGTGCTAGTTCTGCTGGAGACATATGTCCCCAGTAGTCCCAGAAAGAAACACCGGTCCATGTCCATGGGGGATCCTCTTGCTGAAGTGGCCACCAAGTTACTAGTGGAGGGGACTCCCTTCCCGGGAGATGACCTCGCAAATCAAGACACCTACGACCTGGGACGATTCTCAGTTTATCGAGTGTCTAAGCATGAGCATGCTATTGTGGATCATCTTCGATGGCTTGATGACGACGTGATGGTTCCCTCGTCCTACTTGATGGACACCAAGTTCTGCCTGGCGGACTGGTATTCGGACCAGAAGGGACCTATTGGGGGATACCAACTCCATGAGTGCGAAGAATTCCATACATCAGTACCTATGGGTGATGCAATCGGAGACCGAGTCGAAGAAATCCTTGACATGGGAAGGCCCTATGAACGAGATGTGATACTGGACCGAGAACCCCGGGAAAGCCGGTTTGTCTGTATACCCTACCTGGATGTCTTGGCAGGACAACAATGTTACCAGCTGATAGATAGGGATCTCCAGTTCAATCTTGATGTCCCTGCTTCATTCTTTTGTAATGCTCGCCTCAACCTAATTCATTGGTACAATCGGCAATTGGAAAAGGCCTATGAGGAAAGGGATGAGCGCCTGTTAAGCCCCGAGATCGAAGACTGGGAAGCGAATCATCTTAGAAGTATATTTGAGCCTGACCAAGGTGCCTCCGAAGGGGCCCTGCAGGAAGCTGTTGAAGAAAGACTGACCTCGGTGCCTGAAGCCCAGTTTGAGGACCGGAATGGTCGGCTATGCCTCATAGAGTTGAACGGACAACAAATCGCTCCTGGAAAATACCCAGCGCTGGAACGAAATGCATCAGTAACAAAGGACCTCAAACGTGTCCTACCACGGCCTATAGTGGTTATGGTACGAGTCAACGGGCACCCAGCTAGGGCCTTGATTGACACCGGATCTCTGGCTGACTTCATGTCGTCCACGCTGGCAGACCAGATTGGGGTCCCCCTCATTAAGTTAGCTCGGCCGCTGCCGATTCAACTGGCTGTACAGGGCTCGAGATCCAAAGTAACCTTTGGAACTAAGGTCAAGTTTGAGTATCAAAAAATCAGTTCTGACCGGTACTTTGATATAATAAACTTACAGAATTATGACTTGATCTTGGGAACACCATTCCTGTATCAACATCAAGTCATGGTGGGGTTCAACTCCTCAAAGATTGTGATTGGAAGCGACCAGCCAACACCGGTGCGTGGCAATGAGTGTTCCCAGCTGGAGGTGAGAGCTGCCGACGTTCTCAAAGTGGAGCTGGAAAGGGTTAGACAGGAGCTACGGGAACATGCCCGCCCTCTTTGTGCTAAAGCCAGCGAGACTGGTTTACCCCCACTGAGGGACATCAATCATACTATACCGCTTATTGATGAGAACAAGATCTATTCCTGGAGACCGTCTCGATGTCCTGAAGCTCTACGTCCTCAATGGACAGAGAAGAGAGAAGCCTACTTGTCTTCGGGACGATGGAAGGTAACCAGTGCAGGCAACACTGTGCCTATGCTCCTCATCTCAAAACCCGGCACTGGGAAGCTTCAAACAGTAATAGATCTCCGAGAAAGGAACAAAAATACCCACAAATTGTCCTCACCCCTTCCTAGCATGGATGGGATCTTGAGGAGAGTAGCCCAGAAAAAGTACAGGTCGCTTTTGGATGGCCAGGATGCCTACAAACAGATTCGAATTATTCCGGAGCACGTGAACCGATCTACAGTTACCACCCCTGACGGTAATATGGTGAGCGAGGTCATCCAGATCGGGGACTGTAATGCTCCAGCAACTTATCAAGCATTGATGAATCACCTCTTTGGGGCATACATAGGTAGGTTTATGGATGTCTACCTGGACGACATTGTCGTCTACTCCGACACTGTGGATGAGCACCGTCAACATATCCATATAATCCTGTCAATACTTGATGAACAGAGACTATACCTGAGTGAGCACAAACTGCACTTTTTGTGCAGTGAACTCAAGATCCTTGGACGTGTGGTTGATGATTCTGGAATTCGTATGGATCCGGACAAAGTCTCCTCGGTCCTGAACTGGAAAGTCCCTACTAATCGGGATTTGCTGCGTGGGTTCCTGGGATCAGTGGGATACTTAGCTGACGACATATACAAGGTTTGTATCCCCATGGGAGTCTTGTCCGCCATTTCAGGAGACTCTGTGCCGTTCCGTTGGACTTTCACGGAACAAAGGGCATTTGAAACTATTAAACGATATGTGTCAGCGTGTGAGAAGCACTGTCGCAAACCGCTGAATTATGACCCTGGGGCGCCCACCATCTGGATGATGACGGATGGCTGCCTGAAGGGCATTTCGGGGGTAGTCGCCCAGGGTGCCGACTGGCGTTCAGCCAGTGTGGCGGCCTTCTACTCCGCGAAGCTTACCTCTACGCAGCAGAACTACCCTGTTCACGAAGTCGAGTTACTCGCCGGGGTCGAGACAATGCTGCGCTACAGAGATATTCTCCAAGGGACTAAGTTTATCTGGTTAACCGACCACAAAGGACTGATCCACTTACTCGGTCAGAAAAACCTCTCGGGGCGTCAGGCCCGATGGATGGAGAAGTTGGGGGAATTCGACTTTGACGTGCGATATGTGCCCGGGGTGGAGAATGTGTTGCCTGACGCATTGTCTCGGTTGTATAGCTTTGACGCACCAGGCACCGTGCGCTCACGGTCCGAATACACTGAGTTTGACGGGTATAATGACGAGGCCGCTGAGATGCCGCTTCATCTGATCAGTGCCCCAGTCCTGGTAGGCCTGGAGGCCTTGGCGGCCATACCGGCCACTCGAGCCCGCGCCCGAGCGGATCGCGACCTGGCTGATGTCTCACTGGTGACCTCCCCTCGTCCGGAGAACAAGACATCGAGCCCTTTGGTGCCAGCTCCTACGTCGGGGCCTGCTCAGCCCAGGCGGAAGCAAGGGGCGCTGCCTGCCGAGACGGGACGTCCTGAGACGTTGCGGGAGTTTGCCAAGTGGGTCCGGCGCCGTTTTGTCCTCCTCGGGCCAGGAGAACGAAAGGAGGGTGAAAGTGCGCAACACCAGCCAGACAATGATGTGCCAGCAACCCTTGCTGATCACCCTTTCTACGTGCAGATTCCTCACCAGCTGGAAATGGAGGACCCATTGATAAATGCAATTCGGAATCAGTATAGCGAGGATGTATTTTATAAAAAAAATTGTGGACTCACCAAGGGAATTCCGCAACTTCATGGTTGAAGACGGATTGATCCGTCTCAAGCTGCGGGACCGACTTGTGTTGTGTGTCCCGGATAAGAGTCTAGATGGCCGGAAAGTTAGAGAGATCCTGATTACTCGCGCCCACTCACTATTAGCGCATTTAGGCCCGAGTAAAACACTTACTTACCTCCGAGACCATGTCTGGTGGAAAGAAATGGTACAAGATGTTGCAGCTTACTGTGCAACTTGTAGTACTTGTCGACGGAGTAAGCCCTCGAACCAAAAACCTTATGGGCTGCTCAACCCGCTGCCAGTGCCTACTCTCCCATGGGAGGCTGTGGGGATCGATTTTATAGGACCATTACCCGTGTCCGAGGACCGAGACGGTTCCTACGACTCGATCACCATGGTGATCAACTTGATGACTGCCATGGTCCATTTGGTGCCTAGCCGGACCAACTATAATGCGAAAGACGTGGCCGAACTCGTCTTTTCCGAGATCTACAAGCTCCATGGGCTGCCAAAGGTGATTATCAGCGATCACGACGTATTATTTACCAGCCTTTTCTGGACTCACCTCAATACTCTCCTAGGCATAGACCAACGGATGTCCAGTGCATATCATCCCCAATCAGATGGCTCGACAGAACGGGCCAATCGAACCGTTGGTCAAATGCTGAGGTCCTGCATTCATCCTAATCAGAAAGACTGGGTCAGTAAGCTACCCGTCATTGAGTTCGCCATCAATCTCGCTAGGAACGAATCAACAGGTTACTCACCGTTTTACCTCAATACTGGCCGTATGCCAAGGACAATGATCTGGAATTTGGCTGGCGTTAGCGAGTACCCAGGAGTCCGGGCTTATGCACTGAAATTGAAACTTGCTCTTATGTCAGCGCATGACTCCATCCTCGAGGCGAGACTAAAGCAAACCTGGAACGCTAATAAGAAAAGACAGGTCTCCCCGTTTGTAACAGGAGACCTGGTATACGTATCTACTAAGAACCTAACCTTCCCTAAGGGACTGGCTCGTAAGATGATCCCCAAGTTCGTGGGCCCTTACGAGCTATTGGAGGATTACAATAATAACTCCTTTCGAGTAAACCTACCATCGGTGATGAAGCAACGGGGAGTCCATCCCGTGTTTCATTCCTCGCTAATGAGGATCCATATCCCTAATGATGACCGCTTGTTTCCGGGGAGACTTGAATCGCAGATTGGTGAAGATCAGTCAGCCGATAATGAATGGGCCATCAATAAGATAATCGGCCACAAGGGAGTGGCGAAGGATGCAGTGTTTGAGGTGCAATGGGGGGCGGGGGATATCACCTGGTTGCCGTTCACACAAATTGACCACCTAGATGCCCTTAAAGACTACTTTGTCACATTGGGAATTACTCGCATTGGGGAACTAACCGACACACCTGATGGCAATGTACCTCCGGATGATCCGCACTTGCATGTGGGCCTCATCACTTTCTGTGACAATGCAGGGGACCTATCAGATTGCTATAAAGTCAAGCATTCCACTTCCTGCGTGCTTACCTACAATTGTCTCCCAGTTATTCACCCACTCTCCCTGTCCATCAACGCACTCATGTCGGTGCCCGACCTCTCCTACTTAAAACATCTTCACTCCAGCACCTTCGCACTTTTGGACCCCGACCATTCAACTCGTGACTACACTGTCCATTCCGAACAAATCCGCCTCTTCGCCGCTTACAATGCGGCCCTGCAATCCAACCAGGGCGTTCAACCATTCCGGACCCCCTTGGGCTATGACCTTTTTGCATCGTTCTTCAATCGAGATGGGGACTGTAAAGGCAAGTTAGCTTTCAAGAATGCTGAGGGAAAGACAGTCACACCAGGACCCTCCATTAGTCTCAAGGCGATCGTTGGGAAGGACCTTGCTGAAGCGGAGATCCACCTTGACCATGGAGATCATATGCTTGATGAGAGGCAAAGGAGTATATTTGTGGACATGTTGATGGCCGATAAGGAGAGGTCGATGAGAGGCGAGAGGGCAAAGCGAAAATCTATTGGAGAACGAATGAGGCGTAAGGAGGAGATGGGAAGATACCAGGGAAACGGGTCCCCTAGGGACCGCGATACTTCGGAGGATTTCCCTCCGCCATTCAAGCGCCCTCGCCCAGCAACCCAGGCTCGAGCTGGCGTCGACTCGGGTACCAGCTCATACAAGAAAGCTAAAAGAAACCATCAGTATGATGACGATTATGGCCGCGCCAGCGATGTGGGGGTGTACTCACCTGGCCCTGAAGCCCTGATGACCGTCGACTCGTCTCTTCCCGGATCCACATCCACAGCTCTTACAGAGACTTCCACCAGCGACAACGACCTCTTTCCCTTCTTCGACAACCTGATCGGAGCAGCCGAACTTGGACATAGTCCCGTTGACAGTTGCGCTGCTGCTGACGGAACCGAATGAGTTGCTTTGGAGTAGAAGGGTGTTGACCACCCTTGAAGGGGGGAATGTAACGAGGCTGAACTCCACTCCGAATCGATCCGACTCACCTGGCGCTAGGCATCAGACCACGCTCTTTTGAACATGCGGACACTTCCTTTCACTCTTTCTGCCGACGTTCCTTATGGACTACTGCTCCTCCTGTGTTTGCACTTATTAGCTTGCTGATCCCTGTCGTTACCGTAGACGTATAAATACCAGATGTAATCGATATGGAGGAGCAGCTTAAATCAACTAGACTTACACTAGTTATAGGACAAAAGCTCGACGTGGGACGTTAGCATCACGCGAACGTCACACCATTTTTCTCCATGGAGCATAGCCACCACTCCATGGAGTAACCATTGTTCTCCTAGGAGCACA